AATTAACAAAATCAGATTTCTGCTCAGTCAAAAATATAACAATTTCATCTTTCAATTTCAATAATCTGTTTAAACTTTGCCCTCTTGAGAGCCACATGATTCGACATATTTTCTTTTTCTTGCCAATTTACATGTACTACAACCTGGTAGTGAAGACTCTGCCACATTGTCATTAGTACTTTTACCTCTTCTGTCTAAATTTAGCCACTTATCTATAACCAAAAAATATTTTTGTCCTAAAATGTAAATAAATTTTGCTAATAATTTCTCAAATAAATGTTAGCTTTAGTTTGAAATTACATTTTGTTTGTGCTAAATTTAAAAAATTGATGTTCACACTTACATACACATACAATGGTGATGGTGGAGAAATATTATTAAAGGGCTTTTGTCTTTACTTGCTGCAATTAAATACTTATATTTCTATAAAAGAAGGAAATAACAGCAATTTTTAAAATCAAACATTCTAACACAATACAATCCAAAGATATACTAATTTGATACTTACATGATGATGAATGATGGTAGGAAAATATTAAAATTTTCCTATAGAAATAAAAAAATTTCCATAATAACTTTCCATAATTCCATAATTTATTTTCCATAATTAAACTAGCATGTTTCTGTAAGAGCAGAAGACTTTGTATGTACAGTAAAAACACTGTGATTCATAACATACAGTAGTCTCAAATCTGAGCTGAGGTGTTTCTGGCAGCATTTGTTGGCGTTGTGTGGTGTGAAGGCACATGCAGTGCAAAGTGTGCGTGTTGTGTGTTCAGAACCAAGGCTGCAGTGAAGTCCTGAGATGCAACAACAAGCAAATGCTGCCAGAAACATCTTGGATTCATTATGCATTTGATTTTGAATTAACTTTTGGTTGTTGTGCATTCAGAAACTTTTCACGGTTGCCAAATTCTTCATGACCTCCACATTCAGTTACTCAACCCCATAGGGCAGGCCTGCACAACCTATGGCCCACTTGCCTCCAGCCAAAGGATTTCTGGTGGCCACTATGCATTCTCTTGTTTGTCACCTGAGCCCGCAGCAGCCAACTTTCCTCAGTCTGTCTCTAGTCTAACCTATCTTCAGCCTGAAGTTTACAAGTTGTGCAGGTCTGTCATATGGGGTCATGACCCACAGTTTAAGAAGCTCTGATTCTAAATGATCAGAGAGAGGGCAAACTAACTTCAGGAAGACCTGTGTTCATTCCTGCTTCCAACATACATTAATTGTGTGATATTGTTTAGCATTTCAGTTTCAGCAACTCTCTAAGACTGTATAGTTGCTGATGTGCATTGCTGGAGGGATCTGTCACACCTGGAGTCCAATCACAAATCCATTCTGTAACACCACCACCAGCATCATCTCTGTCTGTCTCTCTCTCACACCCACATACACACATAGAGTTTTCTAGATAAATTAGTTTAATTAGTTTTGAATGAATAAAGAAGAATTTATTAAGCACTTACTTTGTGCAAAGCACAGTGCTAAGAGCTGAGAATAGAAATAGAAAAGTCATAGTCCCTGCTCTCAAGGAGCTCACACTCCATTGGAGGAGACAACACATATTGCTGGTTTAATCTGCAAGTCAAATGGAAAAGTCCCATGGTCCAACTTAGGGTCCAGCAGCAAAGTAGATGTTTATATCTCTTCTTTAATGTCAGTATTTAAATGAGTTTGAATACTGGTTAAACCATGTGTGTCAGATATGGTAAAGTTCAGTTACTCAAAATGTTCAGTTAAATACCCCATTCATCCACACTGTGAATTAATAGGAGTTCACCCTGCAAAATTAGAGATTAAATGCTTGGACTGTGTAGAGAGTAAAGGAATTTGGGCTGCTAGTGAAAAGTAAGGCATAGCTGACCAGCTTCAACTGACCCCTTTTCAGTCTGGCTCTTGAATTGATCTGTGTGTCAAACAGGAACATTGTGGGGGAGTGAAAAAAATCTCACACCCCCAACTCTTTTTGCAGTTTTGCTAAGTGAAGGCCTCAGGATGATATGAAGGGGAAACATGGATAAGATAGAAATTAAAAGGAATTTCAGATCATAATTCAGATGAGAGTTTAGGCTGACGACACCTGAGCAACTTTTAGAAAAACCAAAAATGCAGATTTAAGGGCTTCTTTTGAGGGCTTCTTCAAGCTGCCAGAATGGGATAAACTCTTGGGGCTACTGCTACAAGAACTAAACCCTCTCTTTGCCAAGTAAATAAACATTTATTAAGTGCTAACTATGTGCCAGCAACTGGGCTATAGCTTACAGATGGTATGATATAACCGGTGGGACTCTCTACACATTTGAAAATGGACATTCTTTCTTGTCATTTATTTTGCTGTGTTGGTTGATTACACATCGTTTGCTTTAGCTAATGCACCCTCTGGTTGGTCTAGTAAAGGAAATACGTCATTGAGGGCTGATGAGCTTTGGTTTTAAGGGGATGTTGACTCACAAAGTTCCTCTAATCTGAGGTGGTTTTCTGGAAGGTCGGGTGCGTGTGTGATGCTACTACAATCAGAAAAAGTTCCTAACTCCTTAATAGGAGCACTGATTTTCTTAGGAGCTCCCCTTTATTCCATTGTAGGGGAGTGAGAGTGGGGGTGAACAGGGGAGTCCTGGTGCAATTTGATTAGTTTTCCCAATCAAAGGAATCTCCAATGGAGGTAGACATGAACCCATGAACCTTGCTGAAAGGATGGGGGATACTCCTCTGATTGTTTCCCATCGTTTTGTGCTACCTCCAAGATGTCTGACAACTGTGAATAGGGGTGGGGAATGACCTCTTACTGCAAGTCACCCCCTCACCCTCACCTATAAAGCAAGCCTGTCTCACTTCCCTTTTTAGCCCTTAGACTTCCAGATCCTAGTAGATTAGAACAGATCTTCATTCTAAGGGGCAGGAAGGTGTCTGCCTGAGGTTCCTTAACCTGAAGTTACAGGCTCTGCCTTTATGAACATAGATCAGACGCCAGTTTCTGAGACTCAGCTTTAACTGCTTAAGATATTGGCAGCAGCCAAAGCATTTATCGATAGAGTTCCTAGAGAAGCACATGGCAGTGGCCAACCTTTGCTTGCTTAGGAGAGATCCTGAGCTTTAACTTTTCCAACTTTTGAGGGGTTTATAACCTGGTAATTTCAAGTTCAAGAGCTCCCAAGTTCGAGAGTTCAGGCACTTAGAGGGAAATTATTCTCTGCATCTGGAGAATGAAAACCAAGTCATGGTAGAGCAGTTGGCACGGTGGGGTAGGAAAGTGACCTGGACCTTTCCAATCCTTTGCTGTTATCTATGAGTTGCTCACATAGGATTAGGCCTATGTGAATGGGAGTGATTATTCATTAGCTCCCAAAATGTGTTTACCTTTCTGAGGGAGTCTAACAAGCTATTTGAATATTTTACATGTTTCTGTGTCTGTTTACAGGTTCCTGTAAGCTCTTGGTATCTCAAGCATTTTAGGGGATTGTGGATGGGGCAATACCCAGGTATCTACATTGGAGGCACATAAGGGGTGGAAAACTGTGCCTTTGTGGGAAATATGGGGTCCCAGCTTCCTACATTTGGGTATTTAGAGATTTTGTCCGCAAAGAGCCAGAGGGAAAATGAAAAGATCTGCCCAACCCCCCGTGTGACCTCAGAGTCTTGGGAAAATTACACTATCTTATCTCCTGGCAAAATACAATGGATGTATGCCCAAACCTACTTCGGGTGTGTTTTGAGTGTTTGGTCTAAACTCCAAGATGAAAATATTTTACAGATAATAACTGGAATTTCTGTAACACTTCTAGATTTACAAAATGTTTTCTTCACTAGGTGGCTGGTGCAAGTTAATAGTGTGCTATCGTTTTGCACTCGGAGGAAACAAGGCTGATTGACTTGCCCAGGGTCATACATTTGGTGAACAGAAAGGTTGCTGTGGGAGTCCGCAGTTGCCTCCTGCTCTGATTTTTTAAAATCATTTCTTAAAGAGTATTCCTGTGCACTGTGCTAAGGATGACAAAACCAAACCGGGAGACAAGAACTGCTGACTCCCCAAAGTCATGGCCACTCTCACAAATTCTGCCAACTCGCCAGGCCTGTTCTGTTACAGGCCTCCAGTTAGAGAAATGTGATTTAAGACGTCTGCTTATCCGGGCAGATTGGGTATGGCGTTGCACAGAATCCGAACCCTAACTGTCCAGATGCGCCCTCCCTCCTGCGGCTCCTCGCAGCTCAGGGGCGGGTCTGGACGTAGCACGAGGGGACGAGGCACGAGAGGCCGCTTGCTTTGGCTGCCACGAAATTGGCCGCGAGGACCCAGCCGACACCGACCCTCCTCCCTCTCCCCGGGAGCAGGAGTCCCGGCAGGTCTGACGGGTAGGCGGCACGGCCTCGCCTACAGTGGGCGCAGGAGCCCGGGGGAGACATCGCTCCGCGGCCGCAGTGATCGACTTGCAAGGCACTGAGACGCTCAGCTTTGGACCCCGGCGCCGGGCCAGCCAGAGACCCCCGGGGCGCGCGGGCGGGGCGGGAAGGCGCTCCAGTGGTGCACGCTCGGCCCCGCCGTGAGCGCGCCTGTGCCTCGGGGACTGCAGGAAGAGGGCTCTCGCTCGCTTGCTGTCGCTCCCTCTCCCTCCCTCCGCCTCCACCCAGCCGTCCCCGGCCTGTTCTCGTGCAGACCCCTCCCTTTCTCGTGCGGCTCTCGTTCGGTGACTCCAGCGCACGCGCGCTGCCCCTCGCGGAGGCTGAGGGGGTGAGACGCAAGGAGCGCAGGGGCACGGGAGCGCGGGAGGCACCCTCGCTCCGGGAGGCTGCGCTAGCGCAAAAGCTGCCTGACTCGGGGGAGCCGGCTCCGGGAGCGGTGCGGCGCTCAGCGACGTGAATTCCTCGCACCGCCCCTTCCTCTGCTCTGTTCTCCGGTCCCCTCGGCGCTTCTACGTCCCGGGGCTGGATAAAGGAGCCAGGGAACGCCAGGCTGACCTTGCTGCAGAGGGGCGGAGCGCGGCGGCGGAGGAGCGGGCCGAGGCGGGCCGGGGAGATGACTTCTCCCCTGCGCGGAGGCTCCCCAGCAGGCGTCGGGCAGGAGAGCTCGCCGCACCAGTGCCCCAGGTATCTGGCACCGACTCACTAGTGATGGGACGCGGGACCCACCGGGGAACGAGGACCCACCAGGGTGACGGGGGCTCGAGCTGTGGGGGTAGCCCCCGGGCTCGGCCCCTTGAGCTGGGGTGAGGGAGGCGCTCCAGCCCAGGCGCTCTGGGTTCCCCCTCGGAGAGCAAGCGGGCGACCGAGGTGCCGGTGAGTGGATGGCAGGGCTTCCTAGTGCGCCGATGGGGAAGACCTCCCTTGGGCTCCGCTCCTGCTGCCTGGGCTTTTGTCCCGTCTGGGAGCCCGTGTCCTACGCCTGCTGTCCGGACTCTGCCCCGTCCCATCGCTACCAATCTTCCCCCGCCCCCCGCGGGCGCCCTAACTTTGTAGGGGTTCCCAAGCGCCGTGGAGCAGAGAGCGGGGCAGGCGTAGGCTCGGGTTAACTTAGACGTTGTGTCCCAGCTGGGGCATTTAAACTAAAGCCAAAGGTAGCAGACATTTAGTTTTTTATTTTACTCCCTTTTTCCTAGGATGGGAAGAAACAGACGGATATGCTCTACCTAGAATTCCATTTCCAGATTTGCTCTACCTAGAATTCCATTTCCAGTGAAGACAAGTTGGTGACTGGTAGTCTTCAGGCGGTGGGTGGTCTAGAGCCGACGGATTCCCCGATCCCAGCCCAGCCGTCGCTTCAGCCATGGCCCGAGCCAATGTATGGAACCGTCTGAAGTCGTGGTGGAGAAAAGATGATACGCCTCCGTTTCTAAACGATACCAGCGCCTTTGACTTCTCGGATGAAGTAGGAGATGAGGATTTCCCCAGGTTTAATAAACTTCGAGTTGTAGTTGCTGATGATGGCCTGGAGACCCCAGAAACTATTAATGGGACCCACCTGGCCTTCCAGGCCGATGATGATTCCTTACTGGATCAGGACGGACCTTTGCCCAGCAGCCAGCTGGGTTTCAAAGTAGACCCTTGTGACAGTTGTCGGAAACAGAGAGAGTTACTGAAACTGAGAAAAGTGAAAACCAGGCTCACCATCGCTGGTGTTCTTTACCTGCTCTTCATGATTGGTGAACTTGTGGGTGAGTTGTGTTATCGGCTTTTTCTCCTTGTGCCTAGCCAGAAAAGGCAATATAGAATGTTAGACTCTTGACTTGAGGTTTAATAATTGTTTTCAAGGGAGAGAGTTTGCTAATTATCAAAGATACTGTGAGTGTGTTCTGATGTGCAAACCAACCTAAGTGCCTAAAGAATGGGGAACATATATTTCAGGAGGACATTTTTCTTAGAACATGTCTATCATCAGATGAAAAGGATTGAGTTTTTTTAACTGAATTGTATTATTCACTTCTTTTTTTTCTGTTTACAAAAAATCTCTGCAGAAGGATTAGTGTTGCAAGAAGTCATTTGACTTTTCATTTTTGATTGCAGAGTTCGACTTAATCATGGCAGAAATCTAGACTAGAGCTGGAAGGAACCTTAAAAATCATCTAATCCAATCCCACAGCTAGGAAGTAGAGCCAGAATTAGAGATCATATTTCTACCACACCCTGATTTGTGGTAGTATATTCAAATTCTTACCCTTTGAGTTCAGGAGAACACCAGAACCCCTTAAAGTAATACTAAATTGCATGGACTGATTAATTCATCCAAGAGATTGATCCTCTTAGGATATTACTAGCTAATAATAAGTTATTAAAATAGTAATAGCTAATAATTATTAGTTAATATCAATAATAGCTCTATATTATTTATATAGCTCTTTTTACAAATATTATCCCCATTTATCCTCACAAGAACCTTGGGGAAATATATACTATTATCATCTCCATTTTACTGATGAAGGAACTGAGGCAAAGGGAGGTGGCTTGCCTAGGGTCACACATCAAGTGGCTGAGTCTGGATTTATAGACCCAAGTTTTCTTGCCTCCTGGTCCACTATACCACCTACCCACCTCCTGGGAAATAATTTAAACTTAAAGGGACTCCAAGGTTTTTTTTGGAAAATCACTATTTTGATGGACTTTCTGTTTTATAAACTTCATACAGTTTATCCTCTTTTAGGAGGAAGATGGAAAGGATAACTGTAGACATCCTAGTGTTTTATGCATTCTGTTCAGTGGTTTTACGCAGCCACTCAGTGTAGCTGCTATCTGTCCAGTCAGTCAGTAAACGTTTGATAAATACGTTTGTACCAGGTATTGTGCCTAGTGCTGTCCCTCAAAGGTAGTTTTTACTAAGTGGTATTAGGGGAGAAAAGATGCTTCATTTTCACACACATGAAAGAGATTTCATTTTCACATGTCGTGAACCATGATGTGTATGATAATGCCTAATGATGCTGAAATTTTTTTTCCAGCAGAGTTGATTCTCATGACTCCACTTCTGAAACACTTGACTGTAAGTCAGTTAGTTGGAAGGTTGGAGTCAAGTTTTACACATAGTCTGAGAAATAGCTAGTGACTCCCTTTTACAACTTAAAATTTTTTTTTTTACAAGGCACTATTTTACCAAAAGAGGTCATAGAATTTTCTCAAATATTTTATTTTGATATACGAGAAGGGCTTTCTAAGAGGGTTTTAACATCTTCCTGATCTGAGAAAAAACATGAATTTCGATGACTTAAGCTATCTAATACTCCTATGAGTCTACTCTGTTTCTGAATGTGAGAGTTGAGTAATGATTTACTATTGAAAGTTCTCACATACATATTGATAGCTCCCAGATTGTCTTTATAAGGATTAGCCTACACAACATATCACACCCATAGTTTCCCACCTACAGTGAATTGAAGAAGATGCATTTTCTCCATCCTTCTCTGAGACCTAGCTTGGTCTTCCATTGTTCATTTGCATTTTTATTGTTCTTTCCATTTTCTTTGTAGTCATTGTGAGTATAGTTCCTGGTTCTGGTAACTTCCTCCTGCACCAGTTCTTATAAATCTAACTATATTTCTCTAAATTCGTCTTATCCATGTTAATTATGTATCAAATCATATGTCTTCCCATAGTTGGGATTGAACTCAGAAGGCATTATCTATTTGAATCCTTCTCTCACCAAATTTCTATGTTCACATTATGAAGAAATTGAAATGAATTTTATAGTATCTCTTGTATTTTCTAAGTTTTTTCTCCATTATGATGGATAATTTATCTTAATTCATCCCATCTGTGTCTCTTATTGCACAGTAATGTCTCATTATATTCACGTAGTCATTTATCAGTCAAAGTCCACCTACTGTATTTCTAGTTCTTTATTACCACAAAAGTGCTGCCATGATTATCTTATAACATATGGGACCTTGTAACATGGGATGAAAATTGTGTTTTTAATCTCCTTGGAGTTATATATATGCTTAGCAGTGGGAACTCTGGGTCAAAGACATTTTAGTCAGTTGTGTTTTTTTTTTTTTTTAAAGCATAATCCCAAATTACTTTCCAGGATTATTAGATGGATTTATAGCTCTACCAACAATGTATCAGTATGCTTTTCTTCCCAACCTCTCTAGCGTTGACTATTCCCATATGTTACAATATTTACCAGTTTGCTAAAACCTCAGATTTATTTGAATTTGCATTTATCTTTATTATTGATTTAGAGCAGTTTTTCTAATAGTTGTTGATAGTTCACAATTCTTTTGAGAATTATTTGTTCATATCCTTTGACCTTTGGGAAATGGCTCTTGGTCTATTTTTTGTTGATTTTGTATACTTTTTATCAGACCTTTATCAGCAATTCCTAATTCAGAAATTTTTCAGAAATACTCTGAGTAGAAATAGGATTTTACAAGGCAAACTGTTTTTGAAACTCCAGTTTTGAATGTAAAAAGCTGTTAGTGTACCCCCAAAAAATAACCACCCAAGTCCCTGGCCATAAAGTTAAACTGATCCATTGGGACTGAACTTAGAAGGGTGTATCTCTTTGAATCCTTCTCTCACCAGTTTTCTGTGTATATTGAAATTATGAGATAAAATAGAGTATTTTTTACACTATCTTTTGTATTATCTGAGTGTCTTCATTGTCAAGGATAATTGAAAGTTTGCAACACAGTTTGTTTTTTTTCTTTTAGTATCTCTTTTTTTTGTTAATTTATTTTGATTTATCAACAAGTCACTTCCATAAGCTTTTGAGTTTTAAATTTATCTCCCCTCCCTCCCCAAGATTGCTCGCAATCTGATATAGGCTATACATACACATTTCTATTAAACATTTTCACATTAGTGATGCAACACAGTTTGTATGTGTGTGTACTTAGGACTGAGACTTGGGAAGTTCTTCACAAATGCTTAGTTATTCTGTTCATCTAAATTGGGGATTAGAGGAGCTGGTGAACGTTATCAACAGCATAGGCAGTGATTCAAAATACAGTTCTGAAGAAGGGGCACAATTGGTGGGGGAATCTTTGCATTAGTTATCTTTGGTAAGGGTGTGATATCAAAGTGTCCTGCATTCTTCATTTTTGTTTCATTATATGATAGGGCCAAATGAAAAATTACTACAAAAATAAGGCCAAGAGCAATTGCCCAATGGATCAGAAGAAACAGTTCTCAGAATTACAGACTTAACATTCATATGAAAGACTGCTCCAAATCACTAATAAGATAAATGCAAATAAAGACAACTGAGAGTTAGCATAGGAGGCCACTCCCCCCACCACCACCTTGGGGCAGACCATTATGGTAGGGTGCAGTGAATAAGAGCTCCTAGAGCTGAAGTCAGGAAGACTTGAGTTTAAATCTGACCTCAAGACACTAGCTATGTGACCCTGTTTGCCTCAGTTTCCTTATCTGTAAAATGAGCTGAAGAAGGAAAATGGCAGACCATTCTAGTATCAATCAGTCAAGCATATGTGCAAGTTTCCCTCCCTTCATTCCCAGTGCCTTCATTACAAAGGTGAGAGACAATAGGTATATGGTATCAAATATTATACCGTTAGACCCTATTGTTTTGCTGAACTGTTTTAATTTTTGTTCCAAGGGAAAACTTGCTAGTTTGGAGAAAGGGATACATTTTCAAATGAATGTGATGAAAACAAGGCATCAATTAAAATATTAAAGACCAAAATCCAGCTTTAACCAAAATGAAGGGGCCTGAAAATTTTATAAAGTGAGTCACTGGGTGGTACACATGGAATTAATCTTCCTAGTTAGTCCTTTTTTTTTTTTTTAAAGAGTAAATTTCAAAATATCCTATATACTAGTTGTCAGGCTAATATAATATAGTATTAAATAGTTTATAAAATTCATTTTTCCCTATGTTAAGAGGTATTGCTGTATGACATAACATCTATTAGAAGATGTTGCCATATGTATATAGGCAAAATAGTTCCCTTGAACTTTGCGGTTTAAGGAATTTATGTTTTGTAGATGAGAAAGAGGAATGGACAGAATCCCATCTAGAATGAACATTTATTCGCAGTAGGGCCATACATTTGAACAAGCATTTATAAATACCTCCTGTATAATAAGGCACCATGTTAGGAGTGGGGCTACAAAGTCAAAATAAAAGTCAGTCCTTGCTTTAAAAGAGCCTATCCTCCACATTCAGAGCTTTAATTACAATCTTATTAGAACCTTGCACAGTTTAATCTTTCTAGCTTGCTAATCTTGGTTATTGGTTATTGACTTATTCAATCTTTTTTTTTCTTCGTCTTAAGGCGGATATATTGCAAATAGTCTAGCAATCATGACAGATGCACTTCACATGTTAACTGACCTCAGCGCCATCATACTTACTTTGTTAGCTTTGTGGCTTTCAGCAAAATCACCAACCAAAAGATTCACCTTTGGATTTCATCGTTTAGGTAGGTGAATTAGGGTTGCTATTGGTTTATCAGAGTCTATAGCATAATTTGATTAACTGTAGCCCGACTAACCCAGATTCTTCAATGAAATTTTAAAGAAATGTTCTTATGAGGGGTATACTGATAAAAGATATTTTTGTTGTTTTTACAAAAGCAGCTTCCTGGGTATGTCATGAAGTCTATAAATCTAACTAAATCTTTTATATCTTCTCCATCTACAGAGATTGTTATTTTTCGTAGTGATCCTGAACATGACAGAATCTGATTATCAAAGAAAGTTTTGGTTATGTTCAGCATACCCTACTTACTAAGTGGGGAAGGTATACTCATACATTTTAAAATTTCAGGATGGGGTCAGACAGATTTTCAGTTAAAACCTCAGTGCATCAAAACACTCTGTTCCCTACCATTCTGGTTAGACACTTTTTTTTTTTTAAACTATAATGTGATACAAATGAGTTTCTGATGAGTCATTAAAACCTTAGAAGATTTTGAACTCTAAGCATCTCTGTACAGGAAGGACTTTGTAAATCTTAAAAAATGTATAATGTCAGTATAAAAGTATCTTCTGTAAGCACATACTGCAAGTATGGCACTTCTGACCACTAACTTCTTTTGAAAATGAAAATCATACTTCTATTTTATACTGTAGACTTAATTCTCTTTAAAAGATGAAGTTTACTTATGGTGAAAGTGAAGCATACTTGTGATCCTTTCTTATTCCCTTTATTTAATTAGTGTGTTACAGTTTATAATTGTTTATAAAATACATAAAATTAAAATCAATAGATGCTAATTACACAGGAGAAACAACATGAACAAATGGTGTGGGTGCAAAACTAGGGAGGGAGGAGTTGCCAATTAAATTAAATTAATACCTTCAGTAGCTGCCTTAAAAGCTGTAATTACCATCTTTTAGTTCAGTTTGATAGAAATACTGCTTCATGGAGCTAATATGACAGTCCCTCTTTTCTTTGTGCTAATCTCTTCTGACCATCTGGATCCACACGGGCTTTATCATGTAGTATACCAGATTGTGACTTGAAATTTTACCTGGCTGACCCGATAGCTATTTAAGGTTAGGTAGAAGAGTGGCTTCCTTATCCTCTTGCTTGCTCACTCAGCACACTTTTGCAGTTGAGATCTGAAGATTTCAGCCTTTTATATGGCTTATTAAGCCACTGCATTATGGAAGTTGGAGATAGCATTACTGACAGGAACCCCAACTTTCAACAACTTGCAATATATGCCTATTTAATCAAGGTGCATCTAAAAAAAGGTTTTTAAAATTTTTTTTTAATGTATTAGAAAAAGAAAACATGAGAAACTTAAGGTGATAAATTGTGTGGAATAACGATGTATAATCATATACTGTCATACTTCTTAATCAACTGGATTGGTCTGGGCAATGTAGTCATTCAGATCTTTATGTAATCTAAGATTAAAAAATGAGCAAGTGAAGTCCAAGAGGGCTTTGGGACTCGGGGCAACTCGCACCTGCTGAGGAGGTAGGCCAGGAGGATTAGAGAATGTAACGTGAAAGTTTCACAATCTTCCCTGCAGTCTTGGAGCCCTTCATGGTAGGAAAGGCTGATGGATGGTGTTTGAACCTCCTGTGCTCTTTTGGGAGGATTATCGGAGAAAGTTTGGCACTCCTATGAGAGCAGATTATCTTCAAATTGGTCTGGGAAGGAGGTGAGGTAGGGATCCTTTCCCTAGTGTGCATAACATCCGAAAGCTAACATCCAGAAAACCAGGGAAGGAAGATCTAGAGGATGTGTCCTCTGGAACTTCTCAATATTCTTTCTGTTGGCCTGTTACAATTTGACGTTTTCTTCAGGGGCAGAAAAAGAAAGAAAGAAAGAAAGAAAGAAATTGGCTCATCTAAAACAAGCTTGCCCTTCCATCAAATACTGTTAGATTTATCCTCTCCTTCTAACTAGGTGGAGTTGTACTAGAAGTCCTCAGACTTGAGACTATATCAGCTCTCCCACAAGCTAGCTATGTGGCCTTGGCAAATCACTTTTTAAATGTTTCCCCATTTGAAAAAGGATGGCTTTGGTCAGCAGAGAGCACCTTTCAGCCCTACAATTATGGTACTCCTACATGGGGAACATATGTCCCTATCATCTTGTGTGACCTTGAGAAAGACCTGGGTGTTTAAGCCCTGCCTGAGACACACTAGCTTTGTGTCCACGGGCAAATCACCTAACCTTTCAGTGACCTGGGAAACTCTCCAAGACTTACTTGAGTCGCTCATCGTCCAGCAGTAGTGGGAGAGAATTTTCACATCAGGCGTTCCCTCAACTGGTGTTCCTCATAGGCTGGGATTCCTCCAATAAATTCTTGGCTCCTTTGAAAGCCTTACAAGCCACAGCCCACTGTGGACTTCCAGAAGGAAAGAACACATTCCCAAATGGTTTCTCTAGGCTTCTATGTAGATTTGAAAAGATTATAGATGCCCACTTCTCCTTCAGAGGCAGTGATAAATCACCAGCCTAGAACATCCTATTTTTAAATATCAAAGAAATGCTTGGTTTGTACCTGCATGGTAGATTTCTCTTTCCAGATAGCATTTAGTGCCAGTATTATATGTGGAGGTAAAAGATCACAAATCTGACCAGTCCTACTATTGTGTCTTTGCAAGTTTCTCTGTAGTGTCAGGTGCTTCCTTTTCTTTAAAAGTGCAAAGTTAAGAAGGTGAATAAATAGAAGGTTGTTGGTGGGCGGAGTAGATAGAAGCAAAGAAGAGTCTGAAAATAAAGGCAAAGAGGAACAGTAAAAAAAAAAAAAATCCCATTTAAACAGAGGTCTAAGTTTTGGAGTGTAACCTCCATAGATTTGTCGTCTTTTTTGAGAAAATGATATAAAAGAAAGGAAATTGATTGAGGTAAAAGAGTCACATAGATTGGCGGTATGGATAAATTAAACTAGGAACAAAAGTGGAGATTTTCATTTTTTTTCTTTTAACAAAGTACCAGGGTTCAGTGAGTTTTCCCTAGGGATTCCTTCCTTGAGAGGTGAGAAGAGTGTGCTCTTATTCGTTACCTGCTTTGTGATAGCTAACATTTAGGTCATGCAAAATTATGTTTAAAAAAAGGTCCCAAAAGCTAAGCCCTTTAAATTAAAGTATTCAGAGTTTTTTGAAATGGGGAAAGGCAGATTAAGGGACTGCATAATACTACTTAAGGTCAAAATAGGACTCCTTTACATTGGAATCTGGTGCAATAAGTAGATACTATTACTTCTAAAATCAAGAAGACAGTTCAAGGGGCAGTTAGGTGGTGCAGTGGATAGAGCACCAGCCCTGGATTCAGGAGGACCTGAGTTCAAATCCAGCCTCAGACACATAACACTTACTAGCTCTGTGACCCTGGGCAAGTCACTTAACCCATTGCCTAGCCAAAAAAAAAAAAGTTCAAATCTCACCACGGACTCTTACATGTAACCTTCCCGAGCCTTAGTCTCTTCATCTGGAAAATGGGGCTAATAGCTCTTACCTCTCGAAGGATTGTTGTGAGGATCAGACAAGATGATATAAAGGACTTTGGAGATGAGGAATAGCCCATCCAGAGAAGCAGGAGATAACGTATAAAGTTGTGTGGTGAGTGGAGGATGCTTAAGATACTATCTAACACATAAATGGCTATAAGCAACGTGGCATATTGGGTGCAGAGCTGGTCCCGGAGCCAAAAAGATGGGGGTTCAAGCCTCACCCCTGAAATTAGCTGTGTCTCTGTATCTTTCTTTGCTAGCCTCAGCTCGTTCTGAGCTTTGACACTTTTGATAGTATTCAGTAGAGGAATATGCCAAGATTTTGCATTCAGCCTCCATTAACTGTCCTTGCTTCCATCTTTAATACGTGTCTTTCCTTTCTAATATCTAAATTGTTTGGTGAGTTCCTTGGATGTCTACATTAATCTCATTAGTCCAGTGGTCTCCATGGTGGGAGCTGTGACCTTTATCCCAAGAGGGATGTGGTCTGACCTCAAGTGGGGTGAGATCCGTCGGAGAGTGAGAAGATAGAGTAATCACAGGACTTGTCTCTGACACAGCGTCAACTGCCTTTATCTTCAGATACTGCTCCTCTCCACCCCTTCTCTGCATGGTGCAAAAGTTCAGCCTCTCCACTTCTTCCCTAGGGCACTTATAACCTACCCACTGCCCAGGCAAACTCAGCAGAAACTGCAGGGGCCAATAGGAAAATATCCTCCCCAGCTCTTGACTTCTGGGCTGCAGTAGATGCCCCTGGGAGGCAGGGCTGTAGAGCAGTGACCAGTGAGGAAAAGCCTGCCCTCTCCCCTTTTCATTTTGGGTAAAACAGAGTGAGTCACACAGGTGAGCAAGCACGGATGGGTTGTAGTATGCACAGCAGATCTTACTGTTCCGTCAGTCTTCAACACATCTATACCTCTGCCGCACTTCCCTGTTTTGGGGTCGAGGGCACCACCACCCTGCCAGTCCCCTAGGTTCTCGCTCTCTCATTGTCCTCTTCAATTCCTCATCTCCTGTGTCACCCCTCATGTCCAGTGAGTAGCCAAGTCTTCTCGATTCAGCCTGCGCACCATCTCTCTAGCATCCATCTGCCCCTTCTCTCCGCTCACTTAGCCATCACCAGTTGAATTCAGGTCCTCATCACTTTCCTCCTGCCCTGTTGCAATAGCCTCCTCGTTGGTCTTCCTGCCTCAGATCTCGAACCTCTCCATTCCTTCCTCCCAACAGCTACCAAGAAGATCATCTTTTAAAAAATTTCTCACCTTTTTTTATCACATTCTTTTTTAAAATTTCCATTTTGTAAAAGTTTTATAATGTACGTAATTACTAGAACAATTGTACACATATATAATTTATAAATAAATATTTGTTTTGGGGGTACTGTGTAAAAGCTTTTTGTTATGGGGGTACGCGATCCAAAACTTATGGATACTACTGCTTTAGATAGCCTCCCCCTTTTCCTGGAATTGTTTCTATTTTTTTTCCTTTTTCTTTTTTTTTTTCTG